GGGCTTAAGTGCAGTAACCCTGTGGTCATTAAGACGGGCTCGTATGCCGAAGGACAAGGAGCATCCTTATGGTACGTGGGGACGTTCGACAGATATTCGCGGATATCAACAACTACTTACCTTCGTCCCCCAAACGTAAACCTGCAACCTCATCATGATTCATTAATGTATGGAACATGGAAAATTAGTAGCTTGTACACACACATATTTGGCGATATCAATAACTACCTACCTTCTTCCCCCGAACTTGACCGGCAGCGCCATCATGACTGTATGGAACTAGAAAGTTAGATAGTATACAGATATTTGGGGATATCAACAACTGTCTACCTTCTTCCCCGCCAACATAGTTAGAAGTTATAGATACGTACCTTCTGGCCTCAGGCCCATCCGTGCACGCATGGAATCGATCCGGCACCCTTGACCACAAGAGCCAAGTCGCTTAAACCCACCAGTACTTGGCCCGTACATCGGTCGCGGGCTCTTTTCGTGCATGCGCCGCAACTTTCGGGGCCTCGTCGCTGTTGATAAATGTCATCGACGGACGTTTTCGCATTTACGGCCCCTCCGGAAGTCGTGGTGAGGGGCCCGCATCCGATGTATGGGCCCAAGTACTGGTGGTGTAACCACTACAGCCAGGACGCGGTGGTTTTCAAAGTGCAACCATACAGGTTGTGATATCCACCCCACCCCATCCCAACCATACAGGTTGGAACCATACAGCTTTTTGTCCAGATATTGAGGGGCCCGCATGCGATGTATGGGCCCATGCACTGGTGGTCTAACCACTACAGCCAGGATGCGGTGGTTTTCAAAGTGGAACCATACAGGTTGTGATATCCACCCCACCCCACCCCAACCCATACAGGTTGGAACCATATAACTTTTTGTCCAGATATAATGATAGTGACCGGGCGTTGCGTTCTGTTCGGGCAAGGACGGCAGGCACTTAAGAAGTTTTGAGGAGGGAGAACGTCTCAATATTGAGGGCATACTCACACGTTGACTTTAAGGAATGAATTCGGCCAATAATTATGGTCAGATCCATCGAAGAAAGTCCTAGCCTATGTCCTAAATCTCAGTGTATTGAACCCTTCTCGTTGACTCCCGAACTCCAGAGAAGACTGGATGGATGCAAGGAAATAATTATTAATTCTGCATTTCGTTCGCTGCAACTAAAGAGAGCATCAGATGGATCGTTGATGAAATGATTTTGGACTAAAAATAGGAAATAGCAAAAAAAATGGACGAACAAGAAGAAGAGCATTCTCCCAGTTGTACCTGTTCCTTGAACGTACGTGTGCCACCGTGACAGCGAGATTCAGTCAGGGAACTCCTGCTGTGAGCAAACATTTTGGTTCGGTGCAACTAGAGCGAGGATCGGATGACTCATTGATGAAATGATTTTTGGACTACAAGGTTATAAACATAAAATAGCCAGATGGATGAACAAGAACATACTGGACCACAATGGCAGCCAGATTCAGCCTGGAAACTCCTGCTGTGAGTAAATATGCTCTCTAACACTTGCTTTCCCATGTTTTTTTTCATGTCTGGCTGATTCAATCCTCTATATGTTCAGGGCATGGAAAATATGAAACTGTTGGCGCGTTAGGAGTCTCTTCTCTTCTTTTTATCACAGGGGGTGGCATAGCATGGCATGCTGTTGACGTCCTGCTGGTAAGTGCCTATGTCTGTGCTTGTGTGTGTGTGTGTGCGTGTGTGTGTGTGTGTGTGTGTGTGCGTGTGGGTGTGGGTGTGGGTGTGGGTGTGTGTGAGTGTGGGTGTGTATGTGTGTGGGTGTGTATGTGGGTGTGGGTGTGTGCATGTGCGTGTGTGCATGTGTGTGTGTGTGTGTGTGTGTGTGCTGTCTCTTATACACATCTAGATGTGTATAAGAGACAGGGGCTTAAGTGCAGTAACCCTGTGGTCATTAAGACGGGCTCGTATGCCGAAGGACAAGGAGCATCCTTATGGTACGTGGGGACGTTCGACAGATA